TTTTTTCTTGGGGGGGGGGGGGGGGGAGCCCAGTGTTCAATCATTTCCATACATGGAAAATAATAAAAATATTAAGGTTACACAATTGTCTTGTTTAGTAGCTCCTAGTCTCATGACTTAGAATAAATTTTAGAGTTGAAGACAAAGTTTGCTCTGGTCCCGAAGTGCTTTTTCTGGCCCCCATGGTGGAATGGGGATGGGTCACAAACAAGCCGCCTCTAGAAAAAACGTGTGCTCATGCGTGCATGTGCATGTCCAAAAAAGATGTATACACACTAATAGAACTTTGATACAATCTGTCTGCTTACATTCTCCAGCAATTCCATCTGCACTGCTTATACTCCAGCCTAGGCCAGCAAGAACTGAACAAGTCTTTCCTAAAAACATCAGCTTGGTTTTCATTCATATCGTGAGCACAGGAAAAAAAAACATTTGATCAATTTTTCAGTTGCAACCAACTGAAAGACCACAACAGGTCAAAGAGAAACCTGTTAGGTCAGAAATTTCCAAGTTTAATTTTGTGAATCTTGTGTAGGTGTTTGTACATCTAATATTCCATGGGCACCTTGTGGCATGCTAAAAGAAAAAGGATCTTACCCGTTCATTGAGAACAACCACCCTGAAAAGATTGTTCCATGGGTAATTAAGGACTACTGAGTTGCAAGTCATTTGATCTGGGAGCAAGAAGTCTGTTGCTCCTGTGCTATTAATATTCAGTGCTAGAGCCAAGATTTTGTGGACAACACAAGAGTGCCCCAATCTGAACCTAAGAGGGAGAAGATGGGAACCAGAGCAAGGCAAGGACACAAAGGCACACATATACACCGGGCTTCCCTCCAAAACAAATACAGAACTAGTCCTTATGTCAGAAATCAGCAGACATACATGAAGCCCACCAAGAGATGGGGGTCATATGGACCAGCCACTAAAACACTTGAACAGCCTATTATTGCTACCAGTTATTCCATTAACTCAAGTGATAAAAATCTGTTTAGGAGCTCTAACAACATTAATATGCCATTTGATCATGTTGGAAGGTCACCATAGTTTTATCAACAGTGCCATACTATGGTACAAAAAGCAGAAGAGGTTGGAAACTGAACCAAAGCAGCAAGTCAGGTTTTAAGAGAACTTTCTTCCTAACATGAAAGAACAAACTCTGACCTAGGGCTCCAAATGACAAACTTTTCTACGGCCTTAGGCACAAAATTATTTCCCCAGGAGTTCCTTTATGATAATGTCCCTAGACACCACCTGGGGACTTAATACTTTCACATCAGTATCCAGTCTAAAGTACCCCCTGAAACAGAAAATCCTATGCAATGCTATTCACCCTCTAAAACAGAAAAATGTTCTGGTGCAGTAACCTCTATTCTGGTCCTCCCCAGTCACCTGGCTGTTGCTCGTCATGCATCATTTACCATACTTGACTCCTAGCTTTCGAGCTGACAGAGCCTTCCACCCTCTTCTTTAATGCTCAGCTCCAGCACTGGCGACTACCAGGCTTTATTAACATGTAGGTTCACATATAAGCAAGACATGAAAAGACTAGTGTAGACAAGGGACCACTACAGGTTTTGTTGTTGTTTTTTTAAATAAAATTTGGCACTTTTTAACCAAGTCCAAAGCTATCCCTTTGCCCCCAACTCAAATACCACCCCCCAAATAAAACCCATTACCACCAATTCCACTCTTCACCCCCAGTAAAGGGAATGGCTTACAGCAGCACCACCCCAAACTGTGAGGCATGGCACACATACCCATCTTTGCAGCAGAAGTTTGTTTTAATTCCTGTGCAGCCTTGTGGATCAGTTTAAGCTTTATGGCAAGTTTTCAAGCATAAACCTCAACATTTTTTACTGCTTGTTTTTTCTCCGGGATTGTAATTGAAAACTGGAAGTCCCACAGCAACCATAGCCTGGTGGGGTTTTTGGTTTGTTTTTTAAAAAAAGGTTTGCTTTTTTGAATTCTCAGTGCGTCTAGATTAGTCTATTAAAACCAAATTCTCCTTTACTTATGTTAAAAGAAAGTATTCACCATATCCTGTATACAATACATGTGGTATTTTTGCAATAAAGAAGTCCTGACAGAAATGTGAAACTGTCCTTGTTTATTATCTACAGGAGACTTCAAAGTACATGAAGATCACAACCTACAGGTTGTTAAGAGCAACATTAAGAATTCTCAAGGCTGTCCAATTCAAATGAGCTTGCTTCGTCAAGTGTACCGGTCATTTAGCTTTAGGCTGAAATAAGGCAAAATTTCACCAAGTACATGGTCATCTATTTTACTCCAAGTAAAATATCCTTTCTGTACTGGATAACATAACACTGAAATATAGAAAGTAAGAGATTCAAAACAGTGCTGCTTCTGCTATCAACTGACAGCTGTTGCAGTTGCATACAAAAATCTAAAGTAACCACTGGTAGGCTCCAGCTCCTAACCATAAAAAGTATTTGGAATTACTTCTTCAGATAAGATTATTTTTTTCTAAACACCTCGAGTTTCTGAACATGAAGGTTATAGCGAAGAGTTCTATGAGATGGTATTCCTAACTACCTCACATGCCAAACAGTAACACGTAAGTGGGCTTTTGTACAGAGAAGCTGTCTGAAAGGTTTTCAAAAGTAGGCCATTAATATTAAAAGTTCAAGTCCTGCCTATGATTAAAGACTGATTAAAGACCAAGAGCCAAAAGTGAAAACTGCACTGTACTGAAGAGAGAAGGTGACATTCACTGTTAAGTCTTTGTCCCTCTTCCCACCCCCACCTCCTCTCCTTTAGGAATTAAGGAAGCCAGTTACAATTCACGCTAATTCTTCATTTAAACTAGCCATAAACATTAGAGACTTCATAGAAGTCCCTCAAAAAAAAAAAAAAAAAA